GGTATGTTATCCCTCGATAACAACCGGTAAAAGCTGATAACACAGGCTCATCTGGGTAACTGAAGTTGGCACTATACTCTTGCTAGGAAAATGTTTTCTTGGTGGAAGCTTTGCGTTTGGTTAGCTAATAAAATATTAAAACTCAATTCAATATTATGTGTACAATTATTTAATTATGTCATCCTGGTATTGCGAACTCGCTCTCTCGTTTCATACAAACGCAGCTGCTGCCATTTTGCGACGATTGTTTTGTACACTGTAATGGATTATAAGATAACTAAAGCCGGGCTCACACTGTGCGATTTTTTACAAGTCCTTTAGAATTGTACTTGTCAGACTGTACGAACATGATGATCATGTCACACTGTGGGATCTCAGTTGTCATTAAGTTGTCAAGACGCGTTAAAAACGGGTGCGCGCAAGAAAACTTGTCCGGAGTTTTACCTTATCAACCCATGTACATTCAGTGACTGCGAGCTGCATTGCACGCGGGGCTGTAATGTTGGCTATCATTAAAAGTATATGAATGGCGGCAATACCGTTGTTTTTAAGAAGAATAACGTAAGCAGCACTACACACCCACATGAAAACAGCAGCGCAACCGGTGTTTATCATAGCAAAAGCAACGTATCACGAATTCCGTGAGATGAGGACAAGAGCGCCGGAGTTTATGCGGTTAGAAGAAATCTCTAACATTAATTCTGATCATGGTTTGTCTTGAAAAACAAAGACAGTTTGACGTTCGTTGTAGGAGAAGTCACACTGCAGGACTGTGCGCCAAATCTTCTGACACTGTCAGAATTTCGTCGGAGGTCAAATTTGATCGCAATGGCCATTAATTGGCTGTCGGTAAACATGTCAAACTAACGATCAAAGACTACAGATTTTAGCCTAGGATTATAGGAATCTTTTAGGATTTTCAAAATTTGTCTCAGACGACTAAATTGTGGCCAAAATCGCACAGCGTGAGCCAGGCTTAAACTGGTGAGATTTTAAAACAGTTTTGTCTTATATCAATATCTTTTATCGCCATAAGTATGTGGTGAAATGTTGTGTGATAAGTGGTATGACAGCACCGTATCCCTTAAATGTCCGTTTAGTTTGAACTTGCCACAAACTGCTGTGTTCACGGAAGCTTTGCTTTCAAATATTTCAGATCAAATCTCTGCTTCGCATCGGGGTCCTGATCACCCTGTCGGGGGTTATTCTGCAATAACAATCGCCTACATTATCCCTTACTTAAACTAGATTTTTTGAAGTTTAGAAGTGAGAACTGAATTAGATTTTTACATTTTCTTACCAAAACTGTGATGAGAAGTACACACACACACAATGCATATACAGTATATATGTTTATATCTATACATTTATGAAAAAAACTATTTTACTATTTTTTACATAAATCAATGATTTAAAAAAATTGTTAAAAAAATTAATTAAAAAAATTTATAAAATATATTTTATAAATATACATATATTTTCAGCATTTATGAAAAACAAATGTATTATTCATTACAAAAAACAATGATTTAAATGTAAAGTAAAAACATTAATACAAATATATCATAAATACTTATTTTTCAACATTTATGAAAACCAATTTTATCATTCATTAAATCAATTATTTAAAAAAATGTAAAAACATTAATAAAAATATTATAAATATATATTTTCAGCTTTTATGAAAAAGTATTTTATTACTTATTAAAAATCAATGATTAATTTTTTTTTTACAAATGTTACAAAATGTAAACAATACTGAATTACACATACTGAATGATCACTACAAAAGAAAGCAACAAGCTAAAAAGTCAGCTCACTTGTCTGTTTTTAACCATGATAATTAAAAATAAATACCTATTTCTGATAAACTTCTGCGGTCTGTTTTTGTGTGTGTGTGTTTGTGCATCCTTCTGGAAATTTGAACATTAAATTTTTTCTTGCTCCACACACCAGAAGATATGCTGGTCTCATTTGAGTGCAACAATTAAAGAATAATAAAGTAATAAAATAGTAAAAAGTAATACAACATTTTAATAAATAAACTCACCCTCATAGAAGCCGTCATCATCCATGTCTCCATAGACGTAAATGTACTCCCCTGCTGTGAGGGGCAGCTCGACCTCTGGGTTATCATTAGGACCATCATAGGGATTGTAACTGCATTTAGACAATAAAACAAACCTCCATTTAAAGTGTCATTTGATCGATGTTAAGATATTTTCCTACTTTAATATGCAGAAACAACTGTATCATTCAAGCAAACCATTCATAGGTTGATTTTCTCCACGACACTGCAGTTCAGCACATGCTGTAAACTCCTAAGCACAAATCAATAAATTAAGTTTAATGCTGTTTACCTGTAACGTGCGATGAAGACCTGGAGTTTTGCTGCTCCTTTAGTGACCGAATACGGCGCTGGAGAAACGTCAACGTCCAACTCCTCAACTTCACTAGCAGTGTCCACCTGAAACACACATCAACACACACTCAGAATATTGAACAGATGACTGAAATAAGAGCATTGAATGCATGAAACAGGTTTTATGTCTTTTTAAAATGTACATTTACCAGCCAACAATTAGGTAATGAGATTACCAAACCAGTACATCTCAAACTTGTGGGTTGTGAAAAAAGGGTCGTAAATGAGTTCTAATATGGTACCAGGGCTATTAACATTTAAAAAAAAAAATTGAATACTCTATAAGATGGTTTTAAAGTATCTTCGGTGAAAAGGGCCAAGTATAAGAAGACATAGAGTTTTAAGAGGGTTCTATGTAATATTTTTTTTGTTTGTTGAGCCTTTGTCTAAAAACAATTTTCTACCTTATGCGGATAGACAAAGCTTTTGAATTTAAATCTGAATTAGAATTAAAATAAATATTGACTGAAATAAAATATAAAAAAGCTAAGAAAAAAAAAACAACAACAACAAAACTAATTATTTTATTTTAAAAAGTTGCCAAGGAAACATTTCTCATTTTCATTTTGTTAAACTAAAACTGAAATAAAAAAATAAAAACTATATAGACATTTAAAAAAACTAAAAAAATGTAATTACTATAACTTTAAAATTAAAATTAAAATGCAAATATAAAATATAAAAATATATTCAAATTATCAATTAAAAAATAATCTCAATGACACTAAAATAACACTGTATGGTACAGCAGGAAAAACACTGCTAAATCTAAATAATATAATGCAACTTAGCATATAATTGTGCATAGTTAGGATAGTAAAATCAATAGGCTGATCAACTTTTAATGAAAAGGAAGAACACACAACCCAGTTGATTTTTTGTTGTTGTCTTTCCAATCAAATGCAACGTTATCAATCTAATTACAAAGAAGTCAACATGGACAGATTGCATGACACCCTCATCTTCAAAAACATTTGACTAAGTCACTAAAAACCAATAAAAACTATACATGCATTGTGCTCATTTACTTAAAAAGACAAAAATTGTCCAATACCAGCATCTCACATTATGCAGCACATGTAGAATCTTCATTAGTAAATAATAATTACAGGTCTGTGGTTTGTTAAACTTGCAGAGTCATCATCTAGATATAGTGCTGCTGTGAGTAAGAAGTAAATGGATTCATGCAGGCAGTATTTATAGCTCAAGGGTAAAACCTTTTATGGATAATCACTTACAACTACTACAACCGTCACAATCCAGCAGCACTGCACAGGATTATCTCACTGAATATCAGCTTTAGACAGCTGCACGCGCACCGCGAGCGCCTGCACTCTGACCTGGGAACAGTTTTTAACTTCACAGCTAAAGCTCAAACAAACGCTCCCAGGTAAACTCATTCATGAAATCGAACCCAGACAGAACCCAACAAATGATCTGTATTCTAGACGATTCTACATAAAAATAATTCAGCAAAAGAAATAGCTCTGTAACTTCTCTGTAATAGCTCTATAAGTTCTTTGTTTAGCGGTTTAAGACATTCTGAAGTCCCAGTTCATGTCAAAAAGGTTACCAACTTCTGTACTAGACACATGCACTCATAAGCAGTGTTTTTTAATATCATTAATATACTATTGTAGTATTTATTATATTTTGGATAAAATTAATTATTTTTTTTTTCTGTTACATATATTTTTTTTTCTGTTTATATATATATAATATAAACTATAATATAATTATTTTCTTATTTTAATTTTACAGTTTTTAGTTATTTTATTTTTGTCATTTTTATTTATTTTATTTATTTATTGTTTTTATAGTATTCTATTTTGAATTCTTTTTTATTTTTTATTTTTCAGTTTTTATTTTTAATTATATTTTAATTTTGAAGTTTGAGTAAGTTCATTGTTTTTGTCATTTAAATGATTTTTTTTTTTATTTAAATTTTTTTTTTTTTTTTTAATATATGTCTATTTATTTATTATTTTATGTATTTTTTATGTCTATGTATTTAATATTATATATCAATATTTGAACTACAACTATTTTTGTTATTTCGCTTTAAAAATGTCTATTTAGTTTTTAATCATTTTTATTTCCATTTTAGTTTTAGTGATTTTAATCATTTTTTATATTTTTTTTTCAAAAAGTTTTGCTGACCCCTGTACTGGACACGTGCAGTTTTATTGCAGTAGTATTAATATAATATTATAGTGTTTTGTTGTATTTTCAATTCACTTTTATTCCCCCCCCCCATTTTTTATATTTTTTATTTAATTACATTTTTATTTCAGTTTCAGTCATTCTGTTATTTGTCATTTTTATTAGTTTTTTATGGCTTTGTAGTTTTTATTTCAGTTTTAGACGTTTTAGTACTTGAACTTAAACGAAAATGAGAAATGTTGCCTTACTAAAATAAAAAAAGTTCTTATTTTATTTCATTTAACATTTATTTCAATTACCATAAATGTTTTTTTTTACAGTTTTAGTTAAAGGGGTCATATGATGCGATTTCAATTGTACCTTTCTCTTTGGAGTGTTACAAGCTCTTGGTGCATAAAGAAGATCTGTAAAGTTGCAAAGACTAAAGTCTCAAATCCAAAGAGATATTCTTTATAAAAGTTAAGAGTCAACCACGCGCGATACGCAACGCGTAAAAAGACTGTATAAGTCAGTCATTATAATGCGTAATTATGTCCCCACTGGATGCAACAAATGCCTAGTTTGTAATGGGTTTTAATGTTTTTTTCTCGTCTCTCCGGCCGGGAGACGGCATCACAGTATGGTGAGGGGCGTAACATTTCCGTCACATGCTTGAGGTATTCAGCCAATCACAACGCACTGGATAGCTGGCCAATCAGAGCACACCTCGCTTTTCAGACTGATGAGCTTTGTAAAAATCGACGCGTTTCAGAAAGGCGGGGCATAGAGGAGAAACAATAATGTACAGTATGTGGAAAATAATGTGTTTTTTTTACTTTAAACCGCATAAACACATTTCATTACACCAAATACACAAAATAATGTTTTTTTTAGCAACATCATATGACCCCTTTAATGATAACAACACTAATCCAGATGTCTAATAAACCACTGTATTGTATGCTACCATTGTATGTTACTCTTTTTGCATCTGTTAAATGCATACATGTAAACACTGGTCGTTCCTCTCACCTCATGTGTAGGGCTGGCCTTTCGGGGACTGGCCGGGTGAGATCCAGCGGATTTGGGTGAGAGGTGAGTGGTCTCAGATCTGGGTGGTGTAGGGCTGGACGTGGAGCCGGACTTCATGCTGATGGTGGGCAGCTCTCGGTGTTTGACGGTCGGTGAGCGTTCAGGACGTGAGAGTTCAGCCGCGTGTGGAGTGGAGCCCGTCCGCAAAACTGCAGCCACATCTAACACGCAACGATTGCAGAGAAATACAACTTAAAATAATGCTGATCATAAATGATTTTTATTATAAAAACAGCTTTATATCAAAATGAGAAGTCTACGCTATGTCCTAGGGATGCACCAATATATCTGCCAATAATCGGTATCGGCTGATAAAAGCAATTATCTGCACTATCAGCCATCAGCCGATTGTTAACAAACAGCCGATGATCAGGGCCGATTATATCATGTCAATCAAACGGGGGCAGAAAAACTTGTCAGACAGCAATTTGCATGAAGAAAATGTTTCCTGCGTCGAGTTTAGGGCTGCCCAAGTTAAAGCAATAATAACGCATTAACGCAACTAACGGGTTCTATTCCACCAAACATTTTGTGTAACACGCCTCCCAACCAATAATCGCAAAGAGCTTTGTGCTGTTACTTCTAATAAGAAACAAAGTCTCAGCTCTCAAATATGTCCATTTAATCACAAAATTGTAACAATAAATGCCATTTTGATGCTCTTTAAAGTGTCGCGACAGAAGGCTGTAGCCGCTTTAGTTCAAGCGGAGTCTCTTCCACTTACAAGTTATAGCGTGAAGTGAACATGAATGAACATCAGAAGGTGTTGAACGATACAGTACAACTTATTGAAATCTATGATGTCTCATCTAATCGCTCAATCTGCGTTTCAACTGAAGGAACATCAAATAAAACAACTTGTGAACAGTACGTCACTTAACATTGCATTTGCCCCAGGAAAGTTACCCAGAGTTTATTTACTGTTAATCATATATGTATGTTTGAATAAATCTGTCATAAAGACAAGTTTTATTAAAACTCCCTTATGTGCAATTGGGTTATGTTTTTATTTGAGTGTGATTATTATATATGAAAATAAATAGCATTGAATATAACAGATTTGTTGTTAATTTTAACCTCTAATATTCTGTACCAAATGAGAAGGTTCCCTGTATAATTTACAGCATTAATTGAGAGAGATTTTTTTCCTTTAAGAAAACTAAACTATCGGTACGGGCAGATATCATTGTGAATAATCGGTTATTGGTATCAGCTGAGAAATGTAGTATCAGTGCATCCCTAGTGCTGTCCTCAATAAGACAGTGATAAAAGCATGCATATGTGTCTGTGCACAGATGTGGGATAATGCTTTGAGCTGCGGTTTACATGCATGTGTTTATGTGTCTAGTCGACCCCTGTGATCTACAGGTTAGAATCAGGGTTGATTAAATGAAAAGCATCTGCTTGCATAAGGGTCACAACCCCCGTCGCTATGAGACTACAGTAGAAATCACTCTTTGACCATCACCTCCTCCCTCTGCTCACATTCATGCACAGACTGCCTGCTATAAAATGTCATTTTAATTGAGCATTTTGATCTGCAGCTTTAACAGAATTCATTAGAAAGAAGCAAATAAAAATGCAAAAATGCATAGCAGTGCATGTTAACATTTAAACATGCTGTTATTTGTGTGATAAACATAATAATGCATCCAGACCTGTGGCAGAAGATCAGGACTATGTTCATAATGGAGTACTTAATTGTGATAAATTGCTCTTTTGTATTGTATTTATTATTATTTTTTTAAAAAGTGGTAGATCCTTCAGGAATTTCATGCACATTTTTTTCAGGATTGTATGATGAATATAAAGTTCAAAGGGACAGCATTTAAACTGACAGTAAAGACTTTTATAATGTTCCAAAAGATTTCTATTTCAAATAAATGCTGTTCTTTTGAACTTTAAATTAATCAAGAATCATGAAAAATAAAATGTATCACAGTTTCCAAAAATATAAAGCAGCACAACTGTTTTCAACATTGATAATAATCAGAAATGTTTCTTGAGCAGCAAATCAGCATATTAGTATGATTTCTGAAGATCATGTGACACTTAAGACTGGAGTAATGATGCTGAAAATTCAGCTTTACATCACAGAAATAAATTTCATTTTACAATATATTCACATAGAAAACAGCTATTTTAAATTGTAATAATATAAATGCCATTTTGATGCTCTTTAAAGTGTCGCGACAGAAGGCTGTAGCCGCTTTAGTTCAAGCGGAGTCTCTTCCACTTACAAGTTATAGCGTGAAGTGAACATGAATGAACATCAGAAGGTGTTGAACGATACAGTACAACTTATTGAAATCTATGATGTCTCATCTAATCGCTCAATCTGCGTTTCAACTGAAGGAACATCAAATAAAACAACTTGTGAACAGTACGTCACTTAACATTGCATTTGCCCCAGGAAAGTTACCCAGAGTTTATTTACTGTTAATCATATATGTATGTTTGAATAAATCTGTCATAAAGACAAGTTTTATTAAAACTCCCTTATGTGCAATTGGGTTATGTTTTTATTTGAGTGTGATTATTATATATGAAAATAAATAGCATTGAATATAACAGATTTGTTGTTAATTTTAACCTCTAATATTCTGTACCAAATGAGAAGGTTCCCTGTATAATTTACAGCATTAATTGAGAGAGATTTTTTTCCTTTAAGAAAACTAAACTATCGGTACGGGCAGATATCATTGTGAATAATCGGTTATTGGTATCAGCTGAGAAATGTAGTATCAGTGCATCCCTAGTGCTGTCCTCAATAAGACAGTGATAAAAGCATGCATATGTGTCTGTGCACAGATGTGGGATAATGCTTTGAGCTGCGGTTTACATGCATGTGTTTATGTGTCTAGTCGACCCCTGTGATCTACAGGTTAGAATCAGGGTTGATTAAATGAAAAGCATCTGCTTGCATAAGGGTCACAACCCCCGTCGCTATGAGACTACAGTAGAAATCACTCTTTGACCATCACCTCCTCCCTCTGCTCACATTCATGCATAGACTGCCTGCTATAAAATGTCATTTTAATTGAGCATTTTGATCTGCAGCTTTAACAGAATTCATTAGAAAGAAGCAAATAAAAATGCAAAAATGCATAGCAGTGCATGTTAACATTTAAACATGCTGTTATTTGTGTGATAAACATAATAATGCATCCAGACCTGTGGCAGAAGATCAGGACTATGTTCATAATGGAGTACTTAATTGTGATAAATTGCTCTTTTGTATTGTATTTATTATTATTTTTTTAAAAAGTGGTAGATCCTTCAGGAATTTCATGCACATTTTTTTCAGGATTGTATGATGAATATAAAGTTCAAAGGGACAGCATTTAAACTGACAGTAAAGACTTTTATAATGTTCCAAAAGATTTCTATTTCAAATAAATGCTGTTCTTTTGAACTTTAAATTAATCAAGAATCATGAAAAATAAAATGTATCACAGTTTCCAAAAATATAAAGCAGCACAACTGTTTTCAACATTGATAATAATCAGAAATGTTTCTTGAGCAGCAAATCAGCATATTAGTATGATTTCTGAAGATCATGTGACACTTAAGACTGGAGTAATGATGCTGAAAATTCAGCTTTACATCACAGAAATAAATTTCATTTTACAATATATTCACATAGAAAACAGTTATTTTAAATTTTAATAATATTTCACTGTTTTTGCTGTATTTTGATCAAATAAAGCAGACTTGGTGAGCAGAACAGACTTCTATCAGAAACATTAAAAAAAAAAAATTAATTATTCCAAACTTTTGACTGGTAGTGTATGTATAAGCATTACTGCAAAAATAATGTAAGTAATATGCTAGTAAACCATTCTGAACATAGTCAATCAAGCAGCAGCTCAGAAATTCTGATTGATCCATCAGAATAAAGCAGCCAATCATTTCCTCACAAAGCTGAGAGACATGCAACGTGCTACCAACTGCGTAAGTGATCATATGACGAAAACAAAACCAAACCTATGCTAACAAGGTGAGATCTGCAAACAGTACCACCGTCAACACATAAAATGTCAATCAAATCACAAAGCGGTTCAGGTTAGGGGTGGGCGCTATATTTTGTCATATCGCCCAGCTCTAGCTCAGGACTGATCATATTAAACTCTTCATGGATGTGACCACTGCCACCCACTGCTCACTACACGGACACACTCCATGTGTTATTCATGCAAGCGGACATGTGACGTCACAGCCTAGAACCAAACTGAATTCAATAGTACCAGGCTCGGAGGCATCACAGAGGGCTTCATTACCCTCCAAACTCCAGAACGCGATGTCTTCCCATGAGGCATTTGTGCCTGGAAAAAGAGGGGATAATGAAGACGCAATCCACTTATGGATCTCAGACACTCATTCTTAGGCTGTGCTCCAAAACCAGATGAGCTGCCGACCTAGACATCATAGGTGTGATCTGACACAAAAGCTAAGCAGCAATACTATGTTACCTTAAAAGACAGCTTGTTTTGGCCATGTTCTATGGCAACATACTGTAGTGTGTAGGCAAACCCAGAATGCATTACGATGGAAAAAAATCAAGAGAAACTATAACTACTATAGATATACAACTGTTACAAATTTTGGGGTCGGTAAGATTTTTAAATGTTTTTAAAAAGAATCTCTTCTGCTCACCAAGGCTGCAGTTATTTGATCAGAAATACAGTAAAAACTAGGGATGCACGATATTATCGGATATTATTGGACCAATATCGGAATCGGCCGTAAATGGCTTTAAATGTAAATATCGGCATCGGCCCGATATGAAAAATGGTATTTAGACTGCGTTTCTGTTTGTGTAAAATCATGAGTATGTTTTGATTTAAAGGTCAGAAGCTATAGCTTACATGAACAAAAAAAAATCACAAACATGACACTTTAAATAATTTTATATATACTGATTTATTCATTAATGTGTAATATGTTATATATTTTAAACAAATTATGAGCTCTAAAAGATTTTCATTTTTACAACTCTTTTGCTTTAGATCATTTACAAATGTTAAATCATAAAACAAAATGTTAAGGTTACCACTGCATCTTTCTGAAAAAAAAAATGCAGTGATTAATATATAGTTTATTTATAGTTATTTTCAAATCTTCAATGTACTGTCATTATAAAATAACTTTATTATTGTTTATTTAATTCTAACGAATAAGTTCTTGTTAAAAACTAACCAAAATGAAAAATAAATATATATCCGTATCGGCATCAGCTATCGGCCAAAATGAGTTGAAAATTATCGGCATATCGGATATCGGCAAAAATCCAATATCGTGCATCCCTAGTAAAAACTGTAATATTATGAAATATTTTTACATTTTGAAATAGCTGGTTGCTATTTGAATATATTTTAAAATGAAATTTAAATCTGTGATGCAAAGCTGAATTTTCAGCATCATTACTCCAGTCTTCAGTGTCACATGATCCTTCAGAAATCATTCTAATATGCTGATTCGCTGCTCAAGAAGCATTTCTCATTATTATCAAAGTCGAAAACAGTTGTGATGCCCAATGATTTTGTGGTAAACATGATACATTTATCTTTGATGAATTAAGTTCAAAAGAACAACATTTATTTGAAACGGATATCGTTTGTAACATTAAAAATGTCTTTACTGTCACTTTGATCAATTTAATGCATCCTTGCGAAATAAAAGTATTAATTTCTTTCCAAAAAAATAAAAAAATAAAATCTTATTGGCCCCAAACTTACAGTATTTACCAAAAGTACATGTTGAGTACTGAATATAATCTAAATAAAAAACACTAAATCAATCTGATTAAAAAAGTAATTGTTTTTGCTGCATATTAGTATAATGGTTATGCGCATTATTAACTTAGAAACTAATGATAATGTCAAACTCCACTGGAATCAACTCTGTGCTATACATATAAAAGTGTTGCTGCCTATGTAGAGCGTTTCAAATCATTCACATAACTGGCTGCATTTCATTGAGGATGCTGAGACTTATGCCTATGTAGACAGCGAGCTCACTAGGCTTTAGTCTGCTGTTTTATCTTACATCAGTGGACCGACGCACATGACCAATCTCTGATGCTGCAGTTCATAAAAACTATCACAACAAACTACACTGCAAAACACCAACAAAATAGTGGATTGAGGATGTAAAACAGCAGCCGGTTTTGCAGCATTCATCTCTAGGTACAGAGCTGAAAGGAAAACCCGCCGCTTTTGTTTCGGTCTACATGTACAACAGGAATCAACAGGACAGGAACTCAGTTATTCAAGAATCAATACTTGCACAGCAGTTTCATGTGCTCAGAGAAACAAATTGGCCACAAAAATCTCTCTCAGCAATAGTAAAGCATAACAGCGACACACAACGCTTCAATAAACAGCCTTGAACCAAACCAATCAGCTGCCAAATAAATCAACAACATTACAAACTTGGATCTGATGCAAAACCCTTACTTAAGATCTGAAAGGATACAAAAGGATCTGTTATCTGTTGGGTAATATTTTAGCATACCGGTCTCACTGGACAGGCCGACCCCATTGGTCAGCTGGGTAAGGCTGGGGCTGGACAGCAGGTCGGGGCCCGACAGGTCGATCTTTGAGGCCTGAACCCTGAATTTATCCAGTTCCTGTGACAGCATCCCAAACTGCTCGCTCTGACTGCGGCATTTCTCCTCCAGCTCCCGGACTTTTGCCTACACACAGGATCGATATTAATATGCAAATATTAGTTAATATATATGCGCTGCATTCAAGAAATGCAGATGCTATTAATCAGCCAATGCGATGAATGATGCACATGTGGGATTAGCCAATCAGAGCATGTGATGATGCGATGAAGATGACATCATCTATAATTGTGTCAAATTATACATTATTCATCTAAATGAAAATATCTAACTCAGAAGTCAATCTGAGCTCTCAGTTTTTTGGTTTTCAAGACATTTTTGTGAACTTCAGTGGGAGGTGCTCTCAAAAACTAAAAAATTAACACTAAATGAATTTGAGAAGAGTTTGAGTCTATAAAAATAATCTTAAAAAAAATATTTATCATCTTTTAACAAATTGTTAAAGAAAACACATCTTATGGAGGTGCAAATTAAGGAAAAAATCTATAACTGTATACTCACAATATTATTTATCATGCAACAGATGAAAATCACAAGTCTGAAGTTTATTGTGAAGTGTCTGTGGTCCATTCAAATCATTAACCATAAGCGCTACTTAGTTTGGAATATTTTAATAATTCTCATTTGTTAATATTTGTGTTACTGAAAGCTAAACCCTAAAATCATAAAAACCTGGTGTGTAGGTTTTCTAGATAACAAAATTAATACTACATCTATAATATTACTGATATACAAAATGCACAGTCTTGCAAGCTGTTTTTTTATGAAAGCATCATACAATAAAGACAATAAAGGTTCAAAAACAAATAAACTTTTTGTTTAAATGTATAATTAAAATCTTGAATCTGATCAGTAACAGCACATCCCACCTTGAGAAAATATATGGCTGTTTGGAATAATTTTCATTCATTTTAATAGTTCTCACATATGTTAATATTTGTGTTGATGAAACTTAAAACCTAGAAAATCATAAAAACCTGGTACGTAGGTTTTCTAGATAACAATATTAATACGAATTATGTCTGCTGTAATCACATGAAACATGCACAGACTTTGTAAAAAAGCATTTTGCAAGAAAATAAATCATCATTAACAATTAAACATATATATATATATATATATATATATATAATTTATCATCAGGTGAAAATCGTAAGTCTGATCAGTAACAGCAAACCTCACCACAACAAAAATATATATTTTGAAAAAAAAAAAAAAAGATTATTTATTGTTTGGGGGTTTGTTCAAATCACTAATAATAAGTGCTAATTATATATACAGACTATTTTAATAGTTTTTACATTTGTTAAGATTTGTGCTACTGAAACCTAAAAAAAACAAAAAACAAAATCATAAAAAACTGGTGTGTAGCTTTTATAGAAAACTACATCAACACATTGAGTCTGCTATAATCACCACATGATATATGCAGTCTTTGTAAAAAAAAGCATCTTGCAACACAATAAAGCTTCATAAACAAAGCAGTGAGTGAAAAGGAGGTAAGCAGTGCAATGGAAAGAGGTTAAAGCCATTTTACTGAGTGTAAAATACAAGTGTGTAGTAAAAGCATTAAAAACTCAAGAGTCTGAGAGAGTAAGGCGAGCTAGTTTCACTTCCGGCTCTGTGGTTCAGTTTCCTGGCACACTGAGAGCACAAGGCTCAAAAACACACACACACACACACACTGGCCGACTGTCACTTATTCAGTCACTGCTCAAACTCTAAAAATAAAGGGTTTCCTGTAAAACTCTCACCTCAAAAGTCTACATGTCACATTCAAACTTTTAAGTGTCACATTTAATGTTAAGATATTAAATAGAAAATACTCCGCAAAATGCATTAGCACACTGCAACACAAAAAGCTGATCAGCTCCAGCTAATAAAACTAAACTTTTAGCAGTGTTTCTGGCCCTGTTGCACTTATTTGAGTGCTAAAACCTTGTCTAGTTGAGAAAACCTTCTTGCATAAACCACACACACACACACGCGCGCGCGCGCGCGCAAGCTCTAGAAACTAAAGTTAAGTTGGCTCTAAAGGGCCGAATGAATGTGTTTGAGCGGGCCTGATACCTGCATGCAGTCCAGTGTATTCTGGTTAGCGGCCAACAAAACACAAAGTATAGGACAGAAAGAGAGAGAGGAAACATCATGCATTTCAAAAGCAGTCAGAGCAGATATTACATTAGATTATTAAATGCTGCAGTCCAGGACCTGTTGAACCACATCACTGTTGAGCGCATCTATAGCCTTGAGACTCAAAATGCACAAAAACAAGAGCGTTATGAAGTTATTTTTAAGTTTCAAGGTACTAGAGTGAAACGCTTCATATGGCATTTTTTCCAAATCAAATGCAAGGACAGTCATGCAAAAAATCTGAGCAGTACACACTCAAAAAACAATCAGGAACATGCTTGCAACATCAAGATCAAGGGTTAGATTCCCTCTGATACTGATATAGTATAAAGGTCAAATGCAATGTGAGTCACTTTGGACAAAAGAAAGAAAATTACTGCTTTGAGCACTATGCATGCCTTGTTGAATGAGTATTTATTTTATTTTATTTCATACTGCATATTTATTTTATTACAATTATTTAATTTTATCAAAATTCGAATAGATGCTATGGCAATATTGTATGCAAAACAACTCAAAGTACTTAAAAAAGAAAAAAGAAAAATGGGACTAGTAGGTAAACAGGGCCCTCTGCAGGTTGCAGATACAATCATCAGTGATGCAGTTTAAAGAGAGAAAGAGGAAATGCAACACATCAAACAGGAAGTGCACACGCTGTACTCTACCAGCTCTCTGTGCAATACGAGCTGCACCAGATCCTGAGAAAGACACAATTCAGTTAAACAACACACAAATACACAATCATTAAAACCCCGAGCATTATAAACACAGTCGGTTTCTATCATCCACTCATCACAGCTCCTTAGCTAATGCACTTTAAATGGTTCATTTAACAAGAAACTAACATGACAAAAACAAACACAAAGCAACGAGATGTGAAACTCACCTCCAGCATTTGCACGACACCTTCATGTTCTCTTTTAGCAAATAACTGAGCCTGCCGAACCAGAAGACACTCTTAAACACAAAATCATGCTGTAACAACATTACAAAACACTAGTAGCGGAGATGAAAAACTGCTTGTAACTGGAAAGTGGATTAAATTGACAAATTAATAACCATCTACATTAATCAATTCATATGAATTAAATAACCAACTAGTTTAATAAGACTCAGAGGCAGAGAATTGGCTCTTTTGGCATTTACATTTACACTTATTCATTTAGCAGATTTGCAATTTGTCACAGAGCCAACAAAAAATAATAATTAAAACATTTAATAGAACGCTTTTAGCAAATAATATGTAATAATAATTTAAATTATGCCTTTAAATGTATTAATTTAGCAGGTGCTTTTATCTAAAAGAATTAATGAGGGACATAAGCAATTTGTCACAGAGCCAAATATTTAAGGAATTACATTTTAGCAAAATTTAATAAACAATAAATAACCATTTACATTATACACTTACATTTATTCACTTAGCAGATGCTTTTATCCAAAGTGACTTACAAATGAGGAGCATAAGCAATGTCACAGAGCCAAAATAAATAATCAAAAATATGAGTAACACTACAAAAAGGTTCATTAGTTAACATTAGTTAACTAGGCATGAACAATACTTCTACAGCATTTATTAATCTTAGCTGATGTTAATTTCAACATTCCTAATGCATTATTAAAATCAAAAGCTGTGCTTGTTCACATTAGTTGATACACTGTGAATTAACATGAACTAACAATGAACGACTGTATTTTCATTAACTAACATTAACAAAGATGAATAAATACTGTAATAAATGTATTGTTCATTGTTTGTTCATGTTAGTTAATACATTAACTAATGAAACCTTATTGTGAAGTGTTACCAAAATATGAATAAATAAAATTGTAATAAATAATATAATAATAAATAATAATTTATATAATTTAAATGTTTTAAAATCCAAACACAATTTTAGTAAATAATAATAATAACAACAATAATAATAATAGCCAATAATATATATATATATAGTATATATACAGTATATATATATATATATATATATATATATTAGGATCAAAACTGTGACTTGACAAAAAAATTGTTTGTCAGCTGTACAATTTATCATGCTCTGACAGTGAGAGGCAAGTAAAGATTGGATCACTACCACACATATATTTTTCTCCTGAAATATCCAAGAATGATTCTGGGTGTAATAGAAGTACAGCTTTATCCACAGCATTTGTGGCATAATGTCAGTGGCTTTTGTATAAAACTTTGACACTATGGTCTAACCAGGCATGACATGTTGACATGATGTCAACTCAGATGAATACGCAAGAAATGTGATTCATCACACAACCCTTGATTAGAACCAAATGTTAACAGATCATCAGGGTTTGCATTCAGGAATACAAAGCACAAACAGTCCTATATTAAATTCCCATTACTGTGATAACGATGTGCAACCTACCCGCTGGAGTCGCTTGATCTCATCCTGTTTGAACTTGAGGATAGCCAGTGCCTGCTCATGCTCCAATTCCAGCTGCTGCCTGCGCTCAGCGACCTCTCGCATGTGCTGCCATCGCGCACACACACACACGCACACACACACACACACACACACACACACACACACACACACAAATATACAAACCGATTACACACCGAATGCAATGTGAACATGTTGAGAAACGGATGAAATGAGAGAGTTTTACCTTTAGGACCTGCTCTAGGTTCTCCAGCTTTGCACGGAGTCGCTGGTTCTCCTCCAGAACTGAACTATGCTGAGCGTTCAAAACACAGAGCTGTTCCTTTAGCTCCTCATTTTCAGCCTGCGACTACAGAAACACACAGTTTACACTGACCTTTAACAGCCAGAGGGAGCATAAACACACTTGAAGGAATAGTTCACCTAGAAATGAAACTTTGCTGAAAATGTGCTCACACTGAGGCCATACAAGACGTAGATGAGTTTGTTTCTTCATCAGATTTGGAGAAATGTAGTTTTTCACTAGAGGAAGCGTTATTATGGATTATGGACTCGTATTTTAGCTACTATTTAAAGTTAAATACATATTAATGATGGATTTGTTTCTTACAAACATGCAGCTTTTGGCTTCAGAAGACATTAACTGATGGACTGGAGTGCTGTGGATTACTTGTGGATTATTGTGATGTTTTTATCAGCTGTTTGGACTCTCATTCTGACTGCACCCATTCACTGCAGAGCATCCATTGCTGAGACACTGATGCAATGCTACATTTCTCCAAATCTGATGAAGAAACAAACTCATCCTAATCTTTGATGGCCGGAGGGTGAGTTAATTTTCAGCAAATCTTAATTTTTGTGTGAACTATTCCTTTAATTTTTTAATATAACAATGTTTCACCTGGTCGAGCAGCTGAGCCTTTCTCCTGAGGAGTTCTGCCTCCTCCACTAAGTGCTCATTTCTGCTGCGCTCGTCCACTAGCTGGTTCTCCTGTGAACACACACACACGCAGCATGTCTTCCAGCCTGACATGCAGGAGATATGAACTGTAAGCATTAAAATATTAGAAAAACACTCACCAAATCGAGACATCGTTTTTGTCTCTTCCGCACCTCATGCTCAAGAACTTCACATTCTTTCCTCTTCTTGCCCAACTCACTTTCCTGCAGAAACATCGCGCAACATGTTCAGAAACATGGATATGTTCATCAAATTAAAAGAAAACCTTTGCAGTCATTCATGATTACTGAGCAAGGGAAAAAAAAAAAAATATATATATGCTAGAAAAATTCTCTATCCACTAAAAGATTAAAATTTTTTAATATGAATTAAAAAAAAAAAAAAAAAAAGGAAGCCCATCTGAATTAGGACATTTAGGCTATCCATCTAATAGTAGCCTACCAAAATCTTA